TGCATAGTGATTGAAGCTGGTGTTTTACAAGATCTGCAAGCAGCCTGATTTGCTTTTTCCTTACCCATGCATATCCTCATGTGCTTGAGCATCAGATTTGCAAATGAGAAAATATGTAAATTGTAATGTGTTTGTGCATTTTGCGTTCAGATACAAATGGAACTTGTCCTCCAAACATGGCTCTATTATTGGACCGGACGAGAGTGTCCGGATAAAGCTACCCAGCCATGTTAACAAAGCTGATACCATCACTTCTTTCAGGTATGGCTGGATGAGATTCACAGGTCAATTAACTATGAATAATCACAGAGCCTATAGGAATTAAAGTCTGCAACTGAATAAACCACATTGTTTTGCTGATTTTTGATAGGCTGGTGTCCTGTCCAGAGTGTATCCTGCCTTATGTCCATTGTCTACCAGGGTTTTGTGTAATTCCACATGATAACTGAATCTGGATTTGTTACATCCTGTAGAAACCAACCTTTGTTAACATGGGTGTGATACTGTGGATTACAATGTGTGACATGTTATGTGTTGGGAAGGTGACACGACCACTGTCACTTCAAAGGGTGGAAGTCAAGCTTTGAATTATTGTCTTATTTAAACCAAAACATTTAATTAAAAAAATTAAAATCAATACATTGAATTTAAAGAATAATTGATGTCTGAGTCCATGAGGGTAACAGCTGAATAGATTATGATGATGATTGTTGTTGTCGTGTCCTCGTCATCATCATCATCATCTCAGGGATGGCTTGACTTTATTTAGGAATAAAAATAATATATACAATATGTGGGTCTGGATGCAAGATATACTTTTCAAACAGAATCCAAACTATTTTATTTTCTCTTTCCCTCTGTGTGTCACTTGACACAATCTTGTGTTTAACAGTGGGGCTTTCATCCTGTACTCTGATCTCCAGGAGGTTCAAAGTCACCAAGAATAACACAGACATAGTAGGTGGCTTTAGTGACCTTTAACATGTAAACCCCTTTAACTCTGGGCTTGTGGAATGGATGGAGTCCTCCAGACACCTCAATAGTGCTCATATACAGTAGATCTCCTCAGGACTGGGGTCATGACCCAGAGACCCCGCATTACACTTTCATCTGTCATCTCACCACATCAAAAGTAAATACATTTTAAACACAGTAAAATTAAAATTGAAGTCTGCCCATGGCAGGAGATTGTGGTGTCCATGACTAAACCTGCATTCTTTTTGTTGTACAGTAGGAGCAAGAATGTGAAGCTTGTGAAGTCACATGGATGTTGGCTTCCTATAGTGCACACACAACTAGGGAAATAAATGGGAGACATTATAGGTTCCACTACAGTATGTGACCTTGTTAATCAAATGTGCTGTGGCTAAGTATTTTTCTTTGTTTAGCTGAAGCAGAGTACTTTGTTTTTGCTGTGCAGTTGTTTAAAGGAAATTTATATTTTCAATGCTGTCATGGTGTTTCCGTAAGTAAAACGTCACGTTTCTGCTTTAATAAAAAGTTAAATATATTACACAAATGTGATTTGTTAAAAAGGATTCTTTGCCGTTCAATATAGTAATTGGTGAGGATTATGTTATTAAGTGCAATTGAATGTTTCTTAGCCCTCCCTTATTTAAATGTATCTCAATATATTTGTGGTTCTTATACTTGGTATTTATTGCTGTATTTCTGTATGGAGTCCACTCTGCATCTATCACTTGTTTCACTCACAGAACTTTACTTAAATCTACATGGATCAATCTTCCATATCAGTTCTAATAATAATAAGCTGTGCCACTTGGTCTAGGAAAACTCACTCCCAAGATATTTAGAAGATATCTGAATGGCATTGCTTTGCAGGGAAATATCCCTGTCTTACATAATATTGCAGAGCATGCTCATTAAGCTGTGCAGTAATTGATAAGAGCCTTGTCTATCACATTCTTTTGTAAATTAAGCCGAAAGAGTTTACAACAAAAATACGAATGAAGATGTAAGTCTGTGTACCAGAATTTGAGACAAAGTCAATGATTCTTTTGTGAATCCAATTAAAAAGTACCAACATTGAAGTTTGTTGTTATTGGGATGTAAAATTACACCTCTCTCTCTGAGCAGTCCTCATATTAATTATTCTGTAAACATATATTTTTGCAGTAAGCCATTAGAAAATAAAGATACAGTTTCTAGTGTTCTACTGAGGAACAGAACAACTGCTTCTCCTTTGTCCTTGTAGTCTTTTGAAGCATAGAAAAGAGAGCAGAGCAGAAAGTGATATGAAATGACTTCAAGAATAGATCATTCATGGCTATTAGAGAGCTTTCACTTTTTATATATAATTCCCTCATGTGAAATAAACAAATGGACAAAACCAGCTGAGTAATGTAACTTATTAAACTACACTCTTTATTGTTACCTCAGATTACTGGAGTCTTCTTTTTCAGGTCTATACACTATTATCAGAATGATCGTTTTGGACACCATGCTGAGTTTTCAGTTTCCATTGTGTTTATTGTCTTTGTTGGAAAATGAAATTACATAAAACAAGGCTAGGCATTTGAGTATCATGACATATTGGCTGCAGTGCAGTGATAATTGTTCCTCCAGTCAATGTGGATAAATCACATTCTGAGGGCTTTTCAGCCATTGTGATGTGACTGAGGGTGACTGAGGCTCACTCATATACTCTGCCATCCTTTGAGATTACATGCAGTGTGCTTGTATTGATGCTAGCTAGCCCAGTTGTGAAAACGAAAAACAGATTCAGTTCCGTGATAAAGACATTTATTGATATCTTTGGATTGGTTTGTTGGATGACACCTTACTTTTAAGCTTACTCTTAATGACAAGACTGCCATACCTTATAACTATGGTAAACTAAGCTAGAGATGGCACATACAGTAGGTATATTTAAAACCTGTGTTACATCACGAACATCAGGTCTAGAGCAGCGTTTCCCTGCCTGTAGTCCACTGGTGGTCCATGAAGCTACCAAAGTGGGTCTTTCAGTAAGGAACTAGCACATAATTCACTCAGATCCCAGTAAAATGTCCAGATACGTAATTTGGTGTAATTGTTAAGTTGCCTTGCATAAAATGATCAGCTTTTTTAAATATCAGTTTACTCAATAAACCTTTCAGAAATCATAAGTTAATATCACACCCAAACACCACTTGGTCTCAGTGGCAATGCATATAATTTCTTTCAGGACAAAAAACTCCTGTGAGTAAACACTTTGATGGACTAAAACAGAATACAGTACACATGAGTTACATTCCATATCTTATATGCATACATCTGCTCCCTACTTGAAATTCAAGCAATACACCACATCTAAATCAACTCATTGTGTAATTTCTTAAGCTTACAGCTGTTTGGAAAGGAGCCATTAGAAGTTTAAGCTTTGTGGTAGAGATGGAGCCAGATCCACTCCCAGAAGCCTTTACAGACAAGTGAGAACAGAGCTAACCTTTAGAACTGCTTCATAACAGTAATATGATAAAATAAGGGAGCAATTTGTACGATGAAAAAATGAAAATAAAGAATACAAACAGTTTTCATGAAAATGCATGCACAGCAGTCTTTTTATTTCCAACCCTACATGTTGCGGTTTGCTTTGTTTTTCTATTCAATACAAGATTGTATTTTTCCTCTCAGCATCCTTTAGAGAAACAAGCGAAACCTGTGTTTGGTGACAAAGTAGCTCACGTTTGAAAATAAAGACTTCCTCTGCCAGTGAAATAGCTGAATTTACGAGTAGAATGTGAACCCATTATTACCATTTTTATTAAGACAGCTGATAAACATTTACACCACCTCCTGGTTTCCCATAAGGAGCAAACAATGCATTGAAGATTCATATACATTTTTCAGTAGAGACTCCTAAAGAGAGTTTTAAACCTCCCAATAAGAGAATTTAGGAGACTGTAAATGGTTTTGAAATGTTTCTTTTTAATTTTCTAACATAATTTTTTCAGAAAATATAAATATTTTCCGGTCCCATAAAACACTAAATGTTTGCATGCTATTTATTGGTTTGGATGTATTGCTTTTTACTAAAACACCAGTTCTGAATGTTTGAAAACTTAATCTGGTGAGTACTTTTTAGAGCCAAATACTGTCTGTAGGATTCAATTTAGATTGTATTTGTACTTAGTTAAACCTAATTTCGCCATTAGGTCTGTACATTTATATTTGTAAATTGAGAAACAAAAAAAATGAATTTAACGTCAACTGACGACAAATGTTGTAATGCTGTTCCAACAAGGATGCTTTCTGTGAGGTTCTCCTGTATCTTGTCATTCCAGTGTCTCGTCTGATTCTTGGTGTAAATCACATTTTTAACTTTATGAGAAAAGGGGTCTTGCATCTTCTTCTATTTGTAGAGGGTTGCAGACTAGTTTTTTTTCCCGTTTTTGTCCTTGTGTCCGATTTAAGAATTTCTGCCAACTCTACTGTCCACACACACCACCCAGACCCTGCAATTCTGCCCAAAAGATTTCTTTGTTTAATGGATATAACTTTTACATCACATAGCCATTGTGATGCTCAATATACTGTATATACTAGTGATCATCTTCCTGATTTCATCATCCAAGATTTTACCAGTACCGGCACAGGGTGCTTTTTATTTTTTTGGGGTGTTCATTAACAAGAAAAGTATCCTTTTCCCCAACAACTGGTAAAAGGTAATCCTATTAGCCTTCTGCCCTCCAATACTAAAACACTAAAGCACCTGTAGTATCGCTTCTAACACATATTAAGACCTACTCATTGTGCTTGAATTTTTCTCCTTCCAAGTCAAACTGGCAACTATAATTTTAACACCATGGAGCTCCTTATCTAAACTTGTTAAGCTCCCAGATTCATTGCTCTTCTATTCTTAATCTTTTAAGCTTGTCAGGCCTCGTCCTCTGTCCGTATTTGATAAACCAGCTAGCACTAATCCTTTTTGAGGCTCTTTGCATTCTCCCAGTCAGGGAGAAGGGGGATGGATTCTAGACCTAGAAGTCTTAGCTTACCCAAGTGAATAGACTCGGCACTGCTTATTTTTGATGCGGTGTGACAGGCTATATCTCTCATCCAGGCAAATCTGCCAGGGTCTCTCTGTGACTTCACGATTTTCAACCCATCCGTCCCCCAGAGGTGTTCCACAAGAAATCTGCCAAAAGACAGGGAAATTAATTCACTCACTCAAACGCAGTCTCATCAATTAATTTAACCTTTTGAAATCCACACCAGTGTCCTTCATGCATGTTTGATTATGCTTTTTGCAAGTAATTAATAAGCATTTGAAGGATCGAAGTAATAACAATAATATTAATAATAATATATTATTATTGATATAACGATATCCTGATATAACGACCCATTTTGGGACATGAGGACATTGGAGGAATGGAAGTTTCAGATTTCCACTGTAAGACTCAACACCTTGGGGGGGTCCTGAGAACTGGCTCTTTAAAAGCTCATACCAGATTTTTAGCATCGTCAGGTTGTCTGACTTGCTTCATGGAAATAAAGAAGTGATTGCAAACCCACCACACAATTACAGCTTTCCACACCTGATCGTGCCACAATGGTCTGAGCTGAAATAAGTATCTGCATGGTAATATCAAGTAATGCCTTCCAGAGCAGCTTACAATTTCTGTTGAAGGCTGTTCTAATGCTTGACATCTGCCCTTTTCAGGTTCATAGAAATCCCAGGATTGCCAGTCTGAACCTTCGATAAAATTATAAGAAACCCTTCAGCTCATTTTAAATTTCGTAGGCTGCATTCTTACCTGTTACAAAAAAACATATATTTCTTTACTGAACTCATCATTCATTTAAATACACCCTTCAAGGTGTTTGATACAAAAGGGGGGCTACTTAAATGGTGAAAATGAGGATTTGACTGAGCTTATTTAGTTAATAAGTAATGAATAATTATTCATAACCCCCAACTTGTAAATGCCCTTTCCAGAATAAACCCGAGTGGTTGGTATAATTGGAGGCACACAGATTCTTTATTTTGTGGCACAGCTTTTTGGAGAGGAGTAATAATCCAGGCACACTTGGTTAAACAAATATTTATTACCATGACAAGACACAAACTACACTACACCAACAAAACATACAACACACAAGTTACTCTATGTAAAAAAGCCACCAAAATTATGTCTGACCCCACTCACCCCAGTCATAACTTGTTTGTTCCCCTACCATCTGGCAGAAGGTTCTGGTCACTCTAGTCGCACACAACTAGACTCCAAAATAGCTTCTTCCCCAGAGCTGTCAAGATGGTGACGCCCCCACTCCCTCCCACCATATTATGATCTCTCCTAACGTCTTCCTGTACCCAGAACGACTTTACTCCTACACAACTACACGCACATGTAACGCCGAAATTGTACTGTCCCCTCGATAGCCCAGTAAAACTGTAACAGGCATAATAATATCTAATATTTATTAATTAACCATACTATTTTTAACCATACTATTTTTGCACTGTTCCAAGAATTACCTTCCACTGTTTTTGTCCTGTTATATTTTCTCTGTTTGCACAGTTTTGATTACTTGATTGCATGTTATTTATGTTATGTTATTACATGTTACTGTTATTGCTATTGTGTAACTGTCTATTGTCTTATCTTCTGTCCCATTTATATACTGCACCTGAGTGACTAATGAGAAACACTTTTCATTATACTATGCACCTGTGTAAGTTTAATGACAATAAAGTTGAAAGTATACAGTATTTACAAACATGGCATTTCAGAGGCTTAACATTCTTGTAACCCAGAAAACCCCCAGTCTGCTACTAAGCATTAAACTCATAATGCCTACAGAGGCCACATTAGAGATGAGCTGCCTTCTAACTTAATACAATGCAACCTGTAGTTAAATCTCTCTCTGCACCCTGGATGCCACCAGATAAATGAGAGCCTACTGTATATCCCTATCCATATAAATACACACTAAGCTGGAAAGACGTTTCTAACTGAGGTGTCTTTAACCCAGGAAACCCAAATTCCCTAAAAACATAGAATAGTATACTCTTTCTAGCGAGGTCCAAATACTTAGCTCCAGTCAGGTTTGGTTTGGATGTTCATGAAGTAGGGGCTCTTGTCTGTCACAAGCTTCATGTCCCAATTCCTCTGGGCTCCTGTCTCTCCTCTCCTTCTTCCCTGCTTCTTCTTGTTTCTTCCTTTTGATTCTCCTGTGATCTTATATTGTGTGTTTCTATACTGCTCCTTGACAATCATTAACCCACAACTTATCTAGATATAGGAAGGTATACCCCTCAGACCTCAGCACACATCCTCTCTGCTTTGAAGCTAGAAGTGTTTACTCTGCCAAGTGTGACAAACTTTATCTAATATTCAGGAGACACTTCTCAGTCACCTAAAGCTGTAACAGTGTTCTTTTTAAAGGTTATTTTAATAGTGTGACAGCATATTTCAGTTCACCAAACCCATCTATATTAATTCTCAATGCAGCTTCTAAAAGCAGAATAATATAACCTACAGTACAGTATATTTCAACAGGTATCTTAAAGATACAGGGTGGATTTAACATATGTCATTGTGTAAAGAAACTACGACAACATACAAAACATAAAATGGAGCAGACAGAAGCAACTGTATATTGGGTACAAAGGAACAAGTAATAGGTTTATTCCATGCTGAAAAAAAGAAGAAAGAGAACACAACTTTTCGGCCGTGGAGCCTTCTTCAGGTGTGCACACCTGAAGAAGGCTCCATGGCCGAAACGTTGTGTTCTCTTTCTTCTTTTTTTCAGCATGGAATAAACCTATTACTTGTTCCTTTGCAGCCTACGCATGCTGACGCAGCTACCCACCTGTATATTGGGTATATGGGTCTCGTTTATGTTGAGTAGTATGAACTTAGGAGGGTGAGCTTTATACGACAGTGGGGCTGTGAGAAGGATTCCAGTTTTGGCAGGTACTGTTTTGGCCAGGTTGTAAGTTTCCTATCTTGCTCATTTACTGTGGACTGAGAATCTGGCCCTCATCTGTCCCACAGGGGATATAACAATGGACTTTTCAACTCTCCTTCCAAAACAGTTTTTCTATTCTGGAAATCCAGTGACTATTTATCTCACTAGAGCCAATTTGGAATGAGGATGTATTTTGGTCCTAATTTAAGGATTGAAAGGCCACAAGTGGATATTGTGGGAAAAGTATACTAGCACAGTAAACAAAATACTGCACATGTACCATAATATTTTGTGTTGAATGTAATCTGTTATAGGGTTTTCTCTGCTATTGAAAAAAGACAGAAACTGTTGATACTTCATCAAATAAGAAAAGCATGCTTAAAAATAAATTAACTTTTGCAATTCTTCTGAATAAAGCAGATTTTACACTTGGAATGAACTCGGGGTTTTACAGCAGTGTGCAGGCCCTAGTTGCAGCTGGATTCACAGCAGTCACTGCCAAGTGTATTCAGTCAAGAGTGACTCCGGAGAACCAGAAAACTGGGCCAGAATGATCTCTGGGCCACGTCTGGGGAAGCCACCTGAGTTTAGCAGCCTTTTACTCTTGACTGTTCAACTGACTCACTGTCTGTTGCTTTAAAGCAAAAATAGCTTGTCTTCTTAAATTGCACCTGTACAGCCTGTTTCCTTCGGGGTGTTTTGTCTTCTGTCCCCTTTCCCTTTTCCAGCTGTTCCCTGAGCTTGTGTTGCTGCTCCAAAGGGACTGCTATTCAGTGTGCAGCTAGTGGTTCAACCGGGATCCTTTAATTAAAGGCAACAGTGAACGGTGTGTCACTGTTGCTTTACATTAGTTATCTCTCAGTTTTATCTATTATGTGTTTTGTGGGTAGTAGTACATCCTAAAAAAACACTGACTCAGGTTACATAAATCTATTTGTTTTGTGTAATCACAGCATCATATTTTACTGTGAAAACCCTTGTGCTGCCAATTTGGAAACCTTTTAATAAAAATAAGTGCCAGTAAAGTCTAGCTGCAGGGTGAAAGAGCTATTAAGAAAAGTTTTAACATGTTTCTCCTGAGAAACTGTACCTTTTTTTACTTTCATCTCTTAAACCAAAGAGCTGATTGCTCTCCACATGTAAATTACAATTAGTAGTCAGGTCTCCTTTTTCAGGTACAATTTTTTTTTCCATGTGCATTGACATTCAGTTTTCATCTTGCATATAAGACCATAGTCTTCGGTATTCTGTTTTTTTCCAATTAAAAGGTTTTTATAGGTAACACACTAGGCACAGAATTTATAATTTATGACGTTTTGTATCGAACGACCTTCAATAACAAAGTTCATTGCAAAATTGAACTCATAGTGCAATCTATCTAAAGATAAGACCTACAAAACTGTAAGATTTCCATATTAAAATGAAAAAAATAAATTAGAAATCACTTTACAATTCATACGCGATTACCCATTCCAGTGCTTCCAGTGCAATGTTGTTACTGGAGCCTGTGTTAACTATGCTGCCTTAAGGTGTGTGAACTAGCAGCACACTAAGACTGTAAACTAGAAACTCCCATCCTTATATCAGTGAGATCTGCCCTGGTTGCTGGTTATGTTTTATTGAGTCCCTCTAAGTTTTGTAGGTCTCCTTAAATCACAATGCCTTTACTGCTTGTAAATAAAGCTTGATATGGTTAATCTGAGATTTTTTTCATCAAATTAAGCAATTTCTGAGCTCAGTTGAAATGGATTTCAGAAGACCATCCTTGACCTTGAGTGTCAGGATTTCATCCGTTTTGATTCACATTCAAAGGATAGCAGTTTATTTAGAAAAATAAGTGAGAGAAATCATGACAGAGTGGGTAATTGAATTCCACACAAATATGTGTCTGAATACTTCCTACATGGAGTAGGCCCCAACGTCTTAACATTGGCTTTTCCACTTGCATCATTACAAGACAGTTTTATTAACATGCTGTCATGTACAGCCTGTCACTAATAACACTCATGTCACTAGTGACCCTATTTTTTCAATTTGCACTATGACAGTTTATTTGAAAAGACAGAGAGCTGATTGTTTTGGTTTTCATTTAAACATTTAGCCTTTGTTTTGGTATCAGAAATATCACTAGACTACGCCCTATGTTATCACTATCTGTGGCTGAAAAGCTGATCAACACATTGTGCTCTCCCGAATTGACTACTGTAATGCTCTACTCGCTGGGGTATCTAGATCTACATTGAACAAACTGCAGTATGTCCAAAATTCGGCAGCCAGAATCCTGACCAGGTCTAGTGCAAGTGATCACATTACTCCTATCCTGGAGTCTTTGCACTGGCTTCCTATCAAATTCCGTGTGGACTTTAAATTCCTCATGCTCACCTATAAAGCCCTGCATGGCTTGGAACCTCAGTCCCTGTCTGAACTATTATCGCCCTAGTCTCCACCTTGCCACCTTCGCTCTTCTAATTCTGGTCTCCTAACTGTCCCCCAAGCCCGTCTTCATTTTATTGGTGACAGGGCCTTCTCTTGCTATGCCCCCAAGCTCTGGAACTCATTGCCCAGGGATATCAGAGAGTCACCTTCTCTAAACTCCTTCAAATTCAGACTCAAAACCTTTTTCTTTAGAAGAGCCTTTACTTAACTGGTTTCATTCTTTACCCCTCTGCTCCTAATATACTTAGTACCACCATCTACGGTCTCCTCTGTCTATTGTAATTGTGTTTTATCTTGTGTATTCTTTCAATTTATTGTTTTTGTCATTCTGTTAAGCGCTTTTAGAAGCCACCTTTAAAGGCACTACAGTATATAAAATAAAGTTTATTATTATAATTATAATAAGACAACATTAATTTTCTGCTCAGCTTGCATTGTTGTTCCCTTGAAGCAGTCAAGCATGGCTAGTTAATAGTACCGATTTATAAACATAAAACCAGTTGCTGATAAATCATTAAGTGAACCTTCTTACAGGATCCACAAAGAAGAGAGGATAAGAAGATCAAAGAACTGAACATATCTAGGTAATGTGGGAACTAAAGTAACTGAATTTGTGTTTTTATGTAAGGGACCATTGTCTTATAGTTGTGAAAATAGCTATTTGTGGTATTCACCAGACTTAAATCAATCTCCCACTTGTTTTGTGATGCACTGTTTGGAATAGGGAAAAAATAATTAGCCTTCTGTTATGAAAAGCAATTAGTCCTGAGAAGAGTTGGTTTATTTTTCACAGGTTCCCTCTTTTTCCTGTACTTTGTATTTTCTGTCCCTGTTTTGCTTTTTTGTTTATTGAAAGCTGTGACTTAGTTTTGGAACAATCTATACAAAATTGCAGATGCAGTGCGCGTTGTTATAAATATTGGTATTTTAATTTTGTCACCTAGTTATTAGTTTGTTAGGGGAAAAAAGAAAACAGTGTCTTTAAGTGCTCTAGTTGAGGGAGATTGCAATTCTTCATTTTTATAATTTGCTTTACAAATTTAAACTGGTGTCAGGTCCTGATTTTCATTTTGTAAATTAGCCTTGAATTGGCCTTCCTTATTCAAATATTTACAGTACATCCCCTATTTCACTGCAATATTCATTAGTTCAATAATTCAATAAAAAATGACATATGTATCTATTAATATTTCATAAAATACCAAAATGAAGCATCCCCAGTGTTGCAGTAACATACAAATATGCAAACAAATGACAAAATAAAGCATCTGTTTCCTTTTTTTTCCCTTCATCATAAAAATAAATCAATAATAAGTGCATCCACTCATTCATCTGCTCTGTTCTACAGTTTTGGGTAAAACTAATTTTCTCCATAAAAGTAATCACTTCTCAATTTTGTTTTACTTTCCACAATTTGACTCGTTGCCACTTCATATTTTGTAAACAATATAGGGATAATACACAAGAAGGTGAGAAAACACACAATTCTGCGCATTGCAGCTGCATTGCAGTGAAACTTCCATGCATGGTTGCATTTTTCTGCACATAGAGACTAAACCATACTGGGGAGACCATGGTGAGACTAGGGCAAAGGGATTCCCATTAACCAAGCAGGTGAAGGCAAAACTATCCCATAGTTATAAATCCAGACATTCAGAAAGCAACTAATTCTTAAATGTTGTTGTCCTTCGTGAACTAAATGTTTGTCCAGAACCAACAAATACAGGGCATTTGTTTGCTCTCTTTCCCAATGTAATTTCCAACATAACTCTAAAATTAAACCCTCTGCATCTGCTTACTATTCCTGTTGTTGAGAGACCATGCCTAAAACTTACCTGAGGACTGCTGATATAATTTAAGAACCGTAGAGCTTCATCCTTTAAAGAGTGGCTTGGACTGGCCCAGGGCTGCATATCAATACGCCAGCGTGGGAACTGAAATAGAACAGAATGAGAAAAAGGGGCGTTAATCTCGGTGTCCTGGGTAATTCCATCCTTGTTTTTCCACTCATCTCCCACACCTTCTCCCTGTTCCAGCCCCTTTCAGTTCCCCCTTAAAAGCCAGATGCTGATGCTATTCAGGGCTCTGCATTGGTTCCCGCACCAAGCGAGTCCGAGACCTGAATGCGCCTGGCCCCGTTAAGGTTTTAGTTTCTGTTCCCGTTCCCGTTCCCCCCAATGGTCCCGACCCAGTTCTGGTTTTAATCGTCTGTCTTGGATAGATCGCCTGGCTTTGGACTTTTGCCCTGTTTTGGATTTTCCTTGTTGACTCATCTCTCGATTGTTTGCCTCGGCCTCACGTCCCCTCACCACCAGCACTCCATGGGCACACCCCCCTGTTTTCATTCCCGTCTCCTGCATGCCTTTTTCCCCATGTTTTCTTCACTTTCCTTGGATTGTGTCATCTGCATACGGTCCGGAAAGAACACTTCCTGACACCCGCCTTAATTCAAATTAACCACATGTCTACCTGATCTGCTGCTAAGGAATGACACATCATAGTTGTCAAGGACATCATATCATATCATCATGTGTGACTCCAAAGCTACCAATTTTGACAATAGCTCATTTCTTAGAACTGGTTGTTAATCTGGAACATGCAAAAAGTACTTTGATTTCCTTGTTTAATTTCTGCTCCAGTTAAGCATTTTTCACTGGTAGAATAAATACAGAATGACATTTGCACAATTTTTTTATCTGTGCATTAATTCAACCCTTATTATTATAACTAATAATTTACTCTGTATTGTTTACTTCCCTAATTTCTTTTCCAATACCCAAAACCTGGAAGAAAACGTTACTGTGGTGAGTTCTTGACTTTATGTGGATAAAGGTATATCTTTCATTCTGTGGAAATACTAGAAAAAACTACAACACCACAGCTCATGATGACTTCTAATTTTGCCCAAATTAGGGGTCAGCAGCCTGAGATAGTGTAGTTACCTTTCATCTGTGACATGGATGTCTTATAAAGTTAGCAACCTTCCAAGTTAGAATGGGAGATACAGTAAATCAGCTGGTTTTGACAAATATATGCAAAAAGCAGAATTAGTAGTTTCTTCAGATTGTTCTGCTCTCTCCCCATCGTGCAAAGGCAAGAACTAATCAACATTCATTACCATAGCTCATACAGACTGCATGCTCTTAAAATACTGTACATACAGTACTTGAAAGGCATTCTTGGGTAGACAGCTCGACAAGCTATCCTTATATATAGGATCAGTACTTAAAAATAGTTGCCCAAACTGTTATATGCTACTTAATAATTCCTTCTTATGGCATCAAGACAACTTGAACCTGGTGCTTTGAATTAACAGAGTTTAAGAACTGATACACTTAGCTTTCCTTTACACGATGCAATATTCATTAGGAATGACAGCAGCCAAGAATTTATTTATTGAGCATATTAAGTTACAATATTTTGTCTTTAACCCTCTTGGCTGAAGATTTACCTCTTTGCCTTAAGAATAGGAAGCCAGAAGCACCATGCAGAGAGGAGTAACCAGGGGGCAGCTGCAGAGGTGCAGATGGGGGAGTGATGAAAAAGACAAATGCGAGGGAGAGAAGGGGATTACATACAGTATTATAATGTTTAACCGAGGAAATGACAGCATGATTGATTACAAATTACTGACACCCAAGGCTGATTGAATTTGGCTGTTGTCATCCCTCCTGTACTTTCGTTATATACTCCATTTATCGACTGTGATTTTCTTAACAAACCCAGAACCTTTGTTGCCAGTAAGCTGACAAGACAAAAAATGCTTTTTTACACAAAGATACTCACACACCATTTATCATGTTCTATCCTGGAGGAAAACATACCCAACCCACAGAAGAATGATTAGCTGGAAAAGCCACAGTGTTGTCACACAATGAATTGAAATTCCTGCTTTATGGTGTTCATACTTCTTTGGGAAGTATTTAACTCCATGTGAGGTCTCATGGGTTAAGTCTTTAGACTTTTGGCTGTGCACTACAAATAAAATTGCCTTTTCCTGTGCCTAACAACAAAGACTATCTTATTTTCATTAGCTGTGGTGTGTTTTTATAAAAGCTGAGAGAAACATCTTCCAAAAGCTACAATCACAGCAGTCGGTAAACATTTCTATTAGCAAGACACAGTGAGAACTAGGAAGTTATCAGCTAATGGGTCACAATTTCCTACAATTTGATTACTTCCAGAATCTTTGTCAGGCTCTCCATATGAATACCATTCTGGCTGTGTTTTTTATCACTTAGCTCGATAACTACATTGTAGAGGCTAAAAAAAAAAATATTACCACAGCCAGGTAAAATGTTGTCCGCAATGAAGACAAACTGCTGCTCAGGTGTATTCCATGATTGTGGAGTAAGAAAAGTATGTATTATATCTGTAATTATAAGTAATAATTGCTTACACTTATATAGCGCTTTTCCACTCAAAGCACTTTACAAGTAATGAGAACTCCCCTCCACCACCACCAATGTGTAGCATCCACCTGGATGATGTGACTGCAGCCATAGTGCGCCAGAACACACTGTACTATGAGCTTATGTTACAAGTGCTGACCTACCTTACTGTATATGCTGTCTACTGTATGCTACTCCAAGTACACCAATGTTAACCATTGTCTGCTCTTTTATAAACAAAATATTAAACACAATTATTTTTAGACATTTTTTAGAATTATATTTAGATTTTATAGACAAAGTTCTTTTTACATCCTCTCCATTTATTAACAGATTTCAGCTTTTCACACATCTTTTCCAATCTCCCTTCATGTGAACATTTTTTCTTATCTGTGCCCATTACCAAACACTTTGTTCTTTGTTCTCCTGTGTTTTGTATTCCATTCACTTCATGCTCTCTCACGCACACACCTTAAGAAGGCCCAACAGCTGAAATGTTGTTTCTTTCTACTGTACTTATTTCAGCATGGAAATAGGCGTCACTCATTTCTTTACAGCTAACGCATGCTAATGCAGCTCCTTACAAAAACCTCAGTACTAAACTATGTTGAGAGGATATGAAGGTGCTGTTGTTAATATTGCTGCCGCACAATGGTGGAGCCCTGGGTTCAGTTCCTGGGGTGTTATTTGTATCAAGTTTGCATGTTCTCCCTGTGCTCACATGCATTTCCTCCGAGTGCTCCCACAGTCTAAAGATATACTGGTAGGTTAATTGTCTATTGTAAAATTGTGTGTTTGTGTCTGTGCCTTATGATGGACTGGCATCCCACCCAGGGTGTATGCTGCCTTGCGCCCAGTGCCTCCTGGGATAGGTTTTGTGACCGTGTATTGCAAAAGCAGTTATTGAAAGTGACGTAATGTGAGAGGGTATTGAAATAGGAGGTTTTAACGTCTTGAAAAGCATGGCAGCAGCTTCCTATACTCAATTATAAACTGGCAATTACTGGTGTGATTTGGCAGGTTTATATGTGCTTTACACTGACAGTCCTGTAAAAAGGCCACAAGACTGCTGTACAAAGTCATCTGTAATAACAATGGATTGCTTTCTTACACTGCAGCCCCTCCACAAAGTCTCACCTTAACCCTAAGAAAATATTAATTATTCACTGAGCAGACATCTCCAATTGTCTTCCAGCCACACTGATAAAAAAGCTTTGTCTTCAGCCTTTGTTCAAACATGACATTTCCATTATTCTTTTACTCCTTATTGACAGCTCTCGATGGTGCGGAGGCCAGCAAGCCTGAACAATGACGTCTGACAATCTGGAACTGAACTGAACTGGAAAAATAATCGGATGTGTCACTGCTACTGTGAAACTGTCAGGTGAAGTCATAATGTGAAACAATAAAACTGCACTCAAGTTAGAATTAAACAGTAATAATGACACTGCATCAAAAATTCTGTTCATCCAGAAACCTCTGTGCTGATAGTACTTGATTAGACTTATACGTTTAGCACTGCCAGACTGGTATGGCATAAGAATTTCTCACATGAAAAGGAAAAAAAAATCAGGTCTGTGTTTCAGATAAAGGAAATCAATTTGAACTGTACTGAAAATGAGAAAAATCTATTTTAGGTGCAATTAACCACCTAAAATGGTTGTGATAAGGTAGTATTTGTTATTTAAATATATGATGAAATTCATATCCCATCAGTAAGATGCCTGTGCTGGTGCTACCAAATGGCCAACCCTACTTAGAGATACTGGGCCTGTGGCACTTGTAGGGAACATTCACTGTATCTGTTACAGTATGTGTTGTCATTTAGTGATGTGAATGTGCAGAAGGAACAGCAGAAAAATACTGAACAAGGAAAACTTGGATGATGTGATGGCAGCCGTAGTATACTCACCACACACCAGCTATCAGTGGGAAGGAGAACAGAGATGGGGGATTATTAGGAGGCCATGATTGGTAAAAGCCAATGGGAAATTTGGCCAGGATGTCAAATACTACTCTTTTCATAAAAGACCTACTGTATGATTTTTACTGACCACAGAGAGTCGGGACCTCAGGTTTACATCTCTTCTGAATTTCTCACTTCTTTGCCTGACCTGGTGTGTATTGAGCATAATAATGCACTGTTTTACAGCCAATTAACTGCATCTGTCTATTTAGCTAAAAAGACCTTCCTTCAATATTGCTTAGAGAAGCATAAAGTCACCATACAGATGTGCTGCATCACATCTTTAATACAGTATATTATCTGGCTGGGAAATGCAATACTGCCTGAGTATCTGTTGTGTTTAATTGCTAATAGAAATTCAGTAAAAAAAAATATATGCTTTATTTAAAGTTTTTTTTTACCATATTTCAATGCATATTTGTGTAATTGTATGCTTATAACCGTAAGATTACAGTATGTTTCACACTTACAGCAGTTTGGTACTCAGGTTAAGGTTCACTAAACTAAATGGAGCTATTAACACTGTTTCCCCACACATAGTCAGGGACTTCGTTTGCAATATCCCGCTTCTTAAAAA